ACACTACCCAGAAGAGCTCTACCGTACAGCACAATGAGGATGCAATGGAAGCAGCAAAGTATTAAAACTATTCTAAAACCAAATGTTTTAAAAAGTTCCAATGCATGTACTTGGATGATGCATGAATTTGTCACATTTATGTTTTACAAGTTTAGGTGTACACTTTATTCATTGATTCAATTCATTTTAGAGATTTACACCCTGGCCTTCAACACGTCCCCAGATGTTTTAAGTGTACACTTAAAGATGCAGTGTGTGGCTAGGAGCGTCCTTCAGCTTTGACTGCTGGACCTCTTTTGGGTTTCATTTCTGAGTCTTCTCACCATTCTGCTTGCGTCCTGGTCCTTATTGCATTGACTCTTCCTTCTCTGAAGCAGAACACAGACTGGCTCTGTGCAGCACAGACATTCTGCAGTGATTGCCAGCAGCCACCAAGCACCATCCAACATCTCACCAAGGTCACCCACTTGCCGTTCCCTCTACTTTGTTCTCAGATTGCCTGGCAAGCATAGATCAAATCTGACAGTGTCTTTGTCTTTTAGAAACCCACAGTCTTGCCAAGAGACTGGAAGTCCTCCTGAACTGTAGAGAGCAATCACAGATACAATGTGAACTCCAAAGCTTGCCTCCACCCTAGCTCCATTGTCTGAACTGGCAATGATAACAGGTCTCTGTTTGTGAGACTTCCTGGCTCCTCACAGCATGTTTTCAGGGCCAGCCCTACCATGAGACAGTGTGAGATGACTGCCTCAGATGGCAGATGCTAGGGAGCAGCTGTGGTAGTTTCCCTCCCTATCTAGCTCCTCCTCCTCTTGGCCCCCTTGACTGTACCCTCCTATTGGAGGAGCTAGAGAGCTGTGTGTGCCACTTGATCTGCACCATTATTATTATTATTATTATTATTATTATTATTAATATACCGCCCTATACTGGTGGGTCTCAGGGTGGTTCACAGAATAAAATCAAGATATAAAACCACAAAATACATAATGAAAATGAAAACAGCAACCCAATACCCCCCCTCCAAAAGAGCCACATTTTAAAAGGGCATAGGATGTAAATCAGATCAACCAAAGGCCTGGTTAAAGAGGAATGTTTTTGCCTGGCGCCTAAAGGTGTATAATGAAGGTGCCAGGCAAACTTCCCTGGGGAGAGCATTCCACAGACGGGGAGCCACTGCAGAGGAGGTCCGTTCTCATATTGCCACCCTCTGGACCTCTCAAGGAGGAGGCACACGAAGGAGGGCCTCACAAGACGATCTCATGGTCCGGGTAGGTTCATATGGAAAGAGGCGTTCCTTGAGGTAACCAGCTTCAGGTGCAGTAAAGGACACTATCCTGTTGTCTGTATTGAAGTAATATTCAGCTGCCAGTCCAGTTGGCTTTTGGAATGGGTCGGTGGCACCATCTTGTCCTTCACCCGAGAGAGAAGAATGACCTGGGCTGGCTATGCATTGTGCTCCACCTGTGTTTACAGGAAACAGAGTGAATTCCACTTACCTGCCATCATGCTAATAGAAAGTATCTCCAGTGTACAACAGAAACCCCTGGGCAATAAACAAGGATAGGTAGCTATAAGAGCTGTGGCTTAGTGGTAGAGCACATGTTTTCAGTGCAGAAGGTCCCAGATATAACCCTCAACTTCTCCAGCTACAGCCTGGAAAGGCTGCTGTCTGAAATTCCCAAGTGCTGCTGCCAGACAGTGTGTAGACAACGCTGAGCTAGAAGAACCCAAAATGTGACTTGCTAACATAGCTTCCTATATTTCTAGATAATTCAGTGTCTTTATTGATTTATTCATTATTTCATACTTGTTTTAAAGGCGGAAAAATTCCCCAGGTGGTGAACAAATTTAGTTACACAGTGGTACCTCGGTTTTCAAACGTCTCCGTAACTGAACGTTTTGGAACTTAAACACTGAAAACCCAGAAGTAAATGCTTTCAAATGTGCCTTGGAGGTTGAACAGGAAATGAGGCTTCCATTCTGAGTTTTCCATATAGCTTTCAGTTTTTGGTTTTCGAACGTTTCAGAACTTGAACAGACTTCCAGAATAGATTACGTTCGAGAACTGAGGTACCACTGCATATGAATCACAACTAAAATATACAAAGAGATTAAAAACAAATAGGCCTCCCTCAAGCCATCATTAAAAATAAAGATAAAATCAATAAAACATTTAAAACCAATTAACTAAACTGTTATGTCCTCAGCTCTGTGCACTTTGCCCCATGGCTTCTTTCCTTCTTTATTATTTTTAAGTAATAATTTATTATTGAGATTTATATCCCACTCTAGAAATTCGTTTTCAGGAAGGCTTACAGTGAAATGTTTAAAACACGTTCAAATAGCCAAAGCATTAAAACAGGGGCTAACCTTTGGTCTTCCAGATGTTGTTTGACCACAACGCCCATCATCCCTGGCTATTTTGCCAAGCTGGCTGGGGCTGAGTTGGAGTCCAGCTGTATTTGGAGGGCCACAGTAATTTTACTATAATAGAATTAAAGCAATAAAAAAAATAGAGATAATAAAAACAGCATAGCACTAGTAGAAGCCCTTTCCTCAAAAACAGTCAGTTCCAACAAAAGTCTGCTGGCGTAAGAACAACAAGGAGAGAGTTCTCTAGAGAAGGAGCTGCAAAGTTTGGGAGCAGACACTGTGTAACCTCTCTCCCTCATCCTCACCCAACGTGCCTAAGAGAGTGGCAGGATTTGGGGCTCATCCACACCTCTGTTTGCCCCACCATTTCCCCCTGGGAAAACCCACATTTTACTGCTGAATTGGACCAAACAGCAACTGCGCTCTCTGTGGATTGCTGTTTGTTCCGATTCAGTGAAAAAGAGCATGTTTTTCGGGGAGAAGCTGCAGGGCCAATGCAAAAACGCTCAGAGGCATGCCTAGAAAGCAAAGGACAAGTGGAAAACTGCTCAGACCCATGCTTTCTAGACATGGGGCAAGGAGAAGTGTAGATGGGACGTTTTCTTGCAATGGCAGATCTATCATATTCTGCGCTGTCTTCCAATTACCCGTGAGTGTGTTTATGCTGTTCCCTTTCATTAGCATTCTGCTCTGACCTCTGGGACACTGGGCTTCCTTCTCCCACTTCCATGGGAAGGCAGGAAGCCCACTGTTTGGGAGATTACATCCTGTGTCTGGAGAAGGCTTGCTAGCTTTGGATAACCCAGGTGTTTCCTGCCTTGCTTCATCTGAGCTATGCTGTTTGCTGGCTTTGGGGAGGGGGATAATTCCTTATACCAATCTTCTTGGAGGATGCACGTTAGCTGGGGTGTAGAAACAGGAAGCAGACTGGTACTGTAGGCCAGACATAAGTCTCCTTTTGGATCCACACTAGGAATAAGTGGAATCCAGGCTGAAAATGTGTAACCACTAGGGAGGTGGCAAGCTTGTAGTCGAAGGTTAAGGCAGTGGTGAAATGGTGCTGTAGAAGATATAATATGATGGGAGAGACTTAGGATGAGTTCGCATTACCGCCTTAGAGTGCAGTGAAGTTTTTGTTATTAAAACAAAATTTGGGGAAAGAGACTAGGTTAAGCAGTTAGCAACAAGCCATGCACCTTTCCTTTCTCAATGTGCCATGAATTGTCAGGGCAGATGACAATGAACCCCAATGATGGGAGTCAAATGTGCTTATTACAGCAGATATTTGATTGCTGTCATGCTGCATTGTGGTACAAGCAGGAGTACAAGCAGAAGCTGGAAGGTAGACTGGGATCTAGTGGTAGTTACAGTGGTACCTCGGGTTACAGATGCTTCAGGTTACAGACTCCGCTAACCTGGAAGTAGTACCTCGGGTTAAAAACTTTGGTTCAGGATGAGAACAGAAATTGTGCAGCAGCGGCACAGCGGGAGTGGGAGGCCCCATTAGCTAAAGTGGTACCTCAGGTTAAGAACAGTTTCAGGTTAAGAACGGACCTCTGGAATGAATTAAGTTCTTAACCAGAGGTACCACTGTATATGGGTCATTTGTGGTAGATCTGCAAAAGTTCCTGATGGCTAGTTGTCTAACAATAGCAACAACCTCTCAATTAGACTGCTGAAACAGAATGCTTGTGGGGGAAATCAGGCATGGATTATTGTGTGAAAGGACTTGAGAGCTTGGTTCTGGTCCTGATCTCAAATTGCTGGCCTAAGCATCTGTTCAGTGGCATCCCAGTCCTTATTTCTCAACATGCATCTGCCAGGCTGAGCTCCTGTTTTGCACCTGGCTCTAGTTGGTGGACCTCAGGATTCTAGTAAAAAATAAAATGGATCCTGAAAGCCTGATGTCTGCCCACCCATGATGTACAGGGGACATCTGTTTCATCTTATAGATCTCTTGTGGGATGTTGGTATTGAAAGGAATCTGTCTTTTTTTTTACTTTGACAATAGCACTTTGTCAAGTCTATAGGCTCTGAGCTGAATTAAAAGAAAAATACAAAAGTTTTGTGACACCTTAAAGACTAACGGATTTATTATGTCATAAGTTTTTGTGGCCACTTTGTCAGATAGGCTTGAGTCCATGAAAGATTGTGCCGTAAAAAGTCTGTCGCTTCCGAGGATACCACACAGGACTTTTGCCGCAAGACACAAACAGAATCAGGGTAGCCTTTGAGTTGCATTGAGTTTGATACGCCTTGGGAAAGCTTCACAGCGCCACCTGCAGGATGTCCAAGAGAAAAATAGCAAAAGGGTTTTCTTTCAATGTGCTTCAGGAATTCCTTCATCAACTTGTGATAGCTCTGAGTGAAGGAGTAAAAATCATAGAATCATATTTTAAAGATATATTTCAGATAATATTTTAGTTTCCTGTTAATTATGTTGCTTTGACTGTATACCTTATATTTGACTTTCTTGAGATGTTTGATTCTGGATTGTTTTATTGACGTTTAATATGCTGTAAACTGCTTTGAGATTTTTCTTGAAAACATAAAGTGGTATAGAAATGAAAATAATAAATAAATAAATCATCTAGCCCAACCCCCTGCAATGCAGGAATATGCAAAGGCATACAGTGTTCAAAGCAACGACCTTGGCATTATCAGTACCACACTCTAACCAACTGAGCTAATCAGCAAGGTACTAATGAATGGAGACAAAACCAGGCTACAGACATAGTTTGGGCTCAGCCCCAAAGCTGCCCCTGTGATTAGTGTATCCTTCTGCTTTAAAATGTTTGATTCACTTTTAGATTGGAATACTCACACAATCCCTGATCTGGAAATACAAGTACACACAATGGGCGCATATACATTTCCTCTTCCGTGTTTGCAAAGGTAACAGAAATGCAAAAGCTTTGTGCATCCCGCATACTCCTTCCCTCAAAAAAGTTGCTCTGCTCATTCAAAGCAGTGATTTGATACTGACAACATGGGTAACACCGTATTTTTTGCTCCATAAGACGCACCTGACCATAAGGTGCACCTAGTTTTTAGAGAGGGAATGCAAGAAAAAAAATATTATTTAAAGGGAGCACTGAGCAGAGCCTGTATGCACCACGAGCCGCGTGGAGCATGTGTGCGGTGCTTGCAGGCTTTTCCCTGAGGAGGGAGAAGAGCAGCCCGTCACTGACGGCTGCCCTTCTCCCTCCTCGCGGAAAAGCCCCCAAGAGCCACACACACACACACTCCACACGGCTCTTTAAAGGGAGCACAGCTCTTGGGGGCTTTTCTGGGAGGTGGGGGAAGGGACGCTCTGTCCCTTCCCCCACCTCCCGCAAAGGCCAGGGATAGCCGTGTGAAGCCTCCGCAGGGCAGCGGGATGAAGGCTCCCCCCTGCCCTGAAGAGGCTCCACGCCACTAAGGCAGAAGCTAGAGCAGCTAGAGGGAGTGCTGTGCAGTGCTCCCTCTAGCTGTTCTGGCTTCTGGGGTAGCCCGCGAAGCCTCTGCAGGGCAGCGGGGAGCCTTCAACCCGCTGCCCTGTGGAGGCTTCGCAGGGTACCCCAGAGCGGCTCAGGAGCATGGGGCATCTGCGGGCAGCCTGCCCGCTGCTCCCAGAGCTTGTCAGGGCTGGCGGGGGAAGCCCGGGTTCCCCCCACCCCAGCCCCAAAGAGCATCTCAGGAGCGTGCCGCACTCCGGCAATTTAGCTCCAGGGACCACACATTCGCTCCATAAGATGCACAGACATTTCCCCTTATTTTTTAAGAGGAAAAAAGTGCATCTTATGGAGTGAAAAATACAGTACATATCCTTTATGCAGCATTTGTATTCACAAGTGCTTTCCCCGAGGTCCAACAAAGTGCTGTGTCCTTTGCAACTAGCCTGTTGCCCAGTGCATCACAACTGGGGAGAATGGCCTTCCAAGCCTTGAGTCAGCATTATTTAGATACCCAAGACTTTGAGTTGGGTGGTTCATACCAAATTTGATGACAACCCAGCCCTAAGTGCAGTCACAGATGCTGTCAGAAGGGATACACTTATTTGCATGATTAATCTGAATTGGCTTCAGCAACAGAATATAAAATGTGTGCTGACTTTTCTAAACATGCCTCCTGTTTGGAATCACTCTCTGGGGTGCCACTCGTAGATGCTCATAAATAATTTCAGATCTGTCAAAACCTTCACAATTTCAGTTGTTTCTAATGGATGAGCTGCTTTTAACTTGGAGCTATTAGGAGCCTCACCTGTGCTGAAAATGTATTTATTATGTGTTTCCATTCCGTATCTTGCATGTCCTGTACTATACAACTCTTCTTGGTCATCCAAGAAGATGCCTTTAACAATTAGTAAAATAAAAATAAAAACCATGCATGGGAAATGAAGCCTGAAAGCTAACAATTTATTCAAAGCCACCCAGGAACTTTACATGGCTAAATGGAATTTTTGGGTTTTTTAGGACAGGTTGCAGGGGACAGAGCTGAAAAGGGATTGTATTATTAGGCTAGCCCAGGCATAGGCAAACTCGGCCCTCCAGATGTTTTGGGACTACAACTCCCATCATCCCTAGCTAACAGGACCAGTAGTCATGGATGATGGGAATTGTAGTCTCAAAACTTCTGGAGGGCCAAGTTTGCCTATGCCTGGGCTAGCCCTTTATAGGCCCTGACCCCCACTTTTAAATGGGCTGTAAAGATTGCTCTATTCTGGGGGGCTCTTTTAAGTCAAAATCTTCAGTTGTATTTTTTTAGTGGGCTGCTGCTGATACAATTTTTAGGGTGATGTTTCACTGCTGTTTGTTTATTTCACTTTATGGTTAGGACTTCTTTTAATTGTGTTGCATTTTGCATTTTTATCTATAAGCTGCCCAGAGTATTTCATCACAGAAATGCAGGATATCAATGTTCAAAACAACAAGCAACATTTTAGCTTGGATGCTGAAATGTATAGGACTCTCATTAGGAGAATGTCACACTGTTTGTGTAGGCTGTAGTTCTCACAAGGATGTCACCAGCAGGAACAGCTCCTGAAGCACAAGGCTGCTAGCATTTTAATGAGCCTCTGCCACTGTGCCTTTAGCAACAGCTTATTCAAGCAGGGATTCCGCTGGGGGAAAGCTTCTCACAGCATGCCAGTAAATGCTATCGCCTGCTAATTCCTCTGTTAAAGGCACAGAAGCAGGTCGTGAAGCTGGCAATCCCACTGAATCAGAAAATACGATGAAGTGCCTTTAGTATAACCAGGCCTGATAAGCAGGCAGACTTTCCTACAGTTGGTGAGATGAGATTCCATCCTTTCTGTGACTGTGGGCTTCATGCAGCGGTTGGGTGGTCAGAACCCAGGTTTGCAATATATGAAATGTTTCCTACTGCTAAGCAACCAATAGAGGGCAGCATAGGCACTGCTCTCTAAGAAGCACAGCAGGTACATTGGCTTATAAAGTGGCAGCGTAGGGAGATGAAACTCCAAAGCAGGGGTAGGCAACCTAAGGCCTGGGGGCCAGATGCGGCCCAATCACCTTCTCAGTCCGGCCCACAGACAGTCTGGAAATCAGCATGTTTTTACATGAGTGGAATGTGTCCTTTTATTTATATGTATCTCTGGGTTATTGTGGGGCTTGCCTGGTGTTTTTACATGATTAGAATGTGTGCTTTTATTTAAAATGCATCTTTGGGTTATTTGTGGGGCGTAGGAATTAGTTCATCCTCCCCCCAAAAAATATAGTCCTGCCCACCACATGGTCTGAGGAACGGTGGACCAGCCCACGGCTGAAAAAGCTTGCTGACCCCTGCTCCAAAGCATATAACAACCAATTCTGGAAGCATTTGAACAATGTGGTGCTAAGATCGGCACCGTCCAAATATCTTTCATTTCTTTCCTGCTACTTCTTCTTAGCAGCCGCCCTTCCATTTCTGGGCTCTAGCCAAGAAAAGTGAACAGGGACGAAGCCACTGCAATGACTCTCTTCTTAGGAATTGTTGCCTATGCCTGCTAGGAGCTGATCTTTTGGTACTGGTGGCATTCCGCCACCCATTTAACATCACAGATCATTTGCCACCCTTTGCCACCACTTCAGTTTGTGGGGGTGCAATAGAAAAACAGCACCCTTGTGCAAGATTGTGCAAGAGGAAACATCTGTTGACTCTGTTGACTTGTTCCCCCCACACGCCTGGGTCACTGTCGCGCTGCCTAACCGCAAAGCTTATGCGGCTGTCATGCTGTCTGGAGTTATGTCCTGGTAGAGAATAGTTATTCTAAGAAATGCATACCCTAGCTGTTTTCCACCCGAGTGCTACACGTGTATATGCAACATGATGTAATGTGCGCAAGGCTAATAAACATGCAAGGCTGCTGGGAGAGAGGGCTCACTCCTTGCTTAAACCTTCACCCATGACTCTTCGTTATTTTCCTCCGCACCTGGTGGGCTGGTTCCCCGACAAATGGTGCCTCGTGTGATTGCCTGAACGGCTTCCAGGACGCGTGCTGTCAAAGACGCTCCTCCCTGCTACTCACCCGCCCGGCTGTGGCTCAAGGCGCCTCTCATCTTCGGATCCCCGGTGAGTAGCTATTTTTCTATTTTTATCATGGGTTCTGCGCTCTCCAACCCTCAGAAACAATTTTTAAAAGACATGCAGCACCTCCTTCGGGAAAATAAACAGCAAGTACCTGAAGGTGATCTAATTGCATTGATTCTGGCAATAGATGAACATTGTCCATGGTTCCCTGAGGACGGGACATGGGAAATTCCAGCATGGAACAGAATTGGCGACCACTTTCATGGCCATGGCCGCATAAATGTTCACGTCCTCAGTGCCTGGGCTAAAGTCCGTGGCTGCATGGCAACTCTTACGCCCAAAAACATCCTCTTGGCTTCGTTGCAACCACAACAAAAAACAGTCCTGAATATGCCTTTCATATATCCGGCTGCACCGCTTCAACCACCACCTTTTACTCCACCACGACCACCAGATTATCAGCCTCCGCCGACGCCACTGGGGACTGCAAATAAACAAGCAGCCCCCCTCTTAGGTCTTTCATCTGGCACGCCAGTGGCTAAAGTCATACTGCTCCCTGCGGACGCCACAACTCCTACAAATCCCCCCTTAATTGCTGCTGCAATGCCTCTCACAGCTCAGCGCCCTACATTAAAAATGACACTGGGTGGACGTGAGGTAGAGGGGGTTCTGGATACAGGGGCAGATGTTACTGTGATTGCTAAACAAGACTGGCCTCCCGAATGGCCCACAAAGGCAGCTGCGCAGGTTTTGGGTGTCGGGGGAGAAGCGCCAGCCTGTCAAAGCCTCCACCCAGTTGATATCCTTGTGGCTGCGAAGCACATATCAGTGGAATTATTAAGAGACCTTACATCTGCTCTGACAGATTTTGGACTGTGTATTGCCCCAGATAAGGTTCAGCAAACTTTGCCTATGTTATATCTTGGACATAAATTGACACAACAAGCTGCTATTCCGGTTGTTCCCCAATTGTCTTTTCCTGCCCGCCTACGGCTGGTTGACCTTCAACAACTTTTGGGACACCTGAATTGGATTAAGAATTACCTTAATCTGCCTACTAGCACCTTGTCACCATTGTTTTCTGCCTTACAAGGACACAAACTACCCGGAGAAGTCATCCCAGTTACAGAAGAAATGCTACAAGCCTTACAACAGGTTAATGCTTTATTAAGAGACCGAATG